TTTTTTTACTCTGAAGTGGCAAATGCATCCTGGGAACAGCCATTTTCTTTAACATTTTTTTTGTAGGTAATCCTAAAAACACATTACTTAAGTAATTTTCATTAAATTAAAAGAAACCCAATATTATAATACTTGTTATATGTACTAACCTAAAAGTTCATTCTTCAGGTCTCTCTCAAAATCATTACTGGTAAAATGAATAGAACATATTCGGCTATGATTCGGATTAAAACTGTCCTGCCTCTTACAACGATTTATCCACTCCTTGTAAATTGTTTGTGAAACTAAATTATTAGATTTTGGAAATGGAAAAAATTTGATATCTTCCCCTTTGGCTTTTACCCCAACAAAACTGTTATTGCAGCCATAAACTGCACATCGAAGACCAGGCATCTTTTTTTTTATTAAAGATTAACCTAAAAACAAAGAAATTTAAGTATTTATATACATGCCTAAAAAAATATATTAAATTTATTACCTTTTGAGCAAAATTGAAATTCTATTACAGGCTCTAAAGTCTCTGAACACTAAACTAACACAAACACAAATAGTAACATAATGATAACAAACTATATTAATAAGTTAACAAGAAATTACAACAACAAACTACGTATATAACATCAATTAATAATAACAGTGAGGATAAATCCTCTAAACGAACAATAATCCACAAAAAACACACAGAAAGTAAGGAAAATGAGACGTTTTACATATTGTAAACATAGCACGGAGGTAACGTAGTGACGTCACGTATTCGAGCGTTTGACATTTTATTTGGCGAACATAGGCTTAAATGGGATCGAGCAATCCTCTTGTATACAATCCTTGACTGACATCAGTGTTGTTTTTAACTGTCGTGCTGTTGATTGTTGTGCTGAGTGACTTCTAGTAATGTCGGCAAAACGTAAACGTGTTGTGCTTAGTCTTTCTGACAAGCTCAATCGTATGTGCAATCCCTACTTTAGGCTATATGTTTGTTTTATACTGTACATATTTAATACTCTAGTGTGTCATTAAAAATTATTACGGTGTAATGTATTTCCTGTCCAATAAACGTGTTTTCTTTGTATTCCACCCATCCCACTACCCTAACAAAGAAGTAGACGTTTTTCCAGAAATGTTTGGTTATCCGAAAAATCGATTATCCGAACACCCACTGAACCAATTATTTCGGATAATCGGCGCTCTACTGTACACATTTTTTTTAAAGTGATTTTTATTTATAAAAAGGCATTCGATTTCTTACATAAAGTATAAAACAAAAATTTTAACACTGTAGCCCTTAATTTTAGTAATGAGTAATATAAATACAAAACTAAATAAAAACAGTATTACTTATTTTAAACATTATTATTTGTTGTCATGGGGTAGGCTTTTGTAAAAATTAACAATTCAATACCCAAGCGCAACAGTTTTTGTGCAGATATTTAAACGATAGGCGGTGATTGAACTTCTATTTAACAATTTTCTTTAATTTCCTTTTTCTGCTCAATGAAGCACAAGCTCATACAACGAATTAAATTAGAAATACAGGCAGGAACAATAAAAAAACTTGGAAAAACGCACACAACACTAAGAATATGGCCACGATCCGTTTGTTTACTTTTTGACTTACCACATGACGTCAGCAAGGTAGCCAAGATGGCGCCGTGCATGCGCAATATCATATCTCTGTATGGTTGTATCATGATTACCACATACTTTATAATTCGTGAGGAGCTTCGTTTTGACGAGTCTACCACACCTTTCCTCTGCGATTTTTCTCGATTCCTCCGCTTTTCCACTCGGAAAAGTCCAAAAACATGGCAATTTCCCGGGGTCTTGAAAAGTCAAGACCACATCTTTTTTTTAGCTGAAGTTACTGGAAATTTTGTTGCAAATGCCAATTTAAATTTGTCCGACAGAAATTCAGACATTGACGTGTCTACCGGCCGAAACATGTCAAAATGACAGGGATTTGTAAATCAATTACCACATAGGTAATTTTTAGTAAAATTAATTGTAAATAATTAATTCAGCCAAAACGTATTGTTGTCCGACAAATTTCAAGCCGCGTTTTTTCAATCCGACGACAGCTGGAAATCGGAATATTCACGGGGTATGATAAATCGATTACCACATATCTAATTTTCATTTTTTCCACTTTTAAATTTACTGTACAAAATAGTGATATAAGTGTTCGACGATTTAATGTCCGCAAATTATTAAAAAATCAATAAATTTCATATTTAGAAATGGTTATTAATTATTATTATGTAAATTATATTTGTTCCAAATAAATAATTATAATATTGCTTATTTTATGCTTAAAAATTTAAAAGTTATAAACAAATGAAGTTATTTTTGAGACGATTAATAAATACAAATTTCAACATGTTCAAACTATTTTCTCCTATAATACTTCAAAAGTTTCCGCCTCATGTTACCTTCATGAGGTTCATTTTTATATATTTTTTGTAATAAAATCATCACATCAACATATGCATGTGAGGATCCATAGTAAAAAAAGGATTATGACTCTATAAACTGTTTCAGACAGTTTAAAGTAATTAACTTACATATTATCTTAGTGCATAATGCACTACTTCTAAATAAATTAATATTATACTTGATATAAAAATCCTTTTTTCTCTTTCAAGTCTTCATTCGCGTGTGTTATTTTTCTTTACAAAAATTTTCCAATTTTTCTAAAAGAAAATCCCAATATGTATTGTTTTCCATTTCTTATAAACACTAAACACTATACACTAAATTAAACTGTTACTGCAAGAGACTAACAACAAATTGACAGTTTAGTTGTTTGTTTTGAAGTTTTGCTAAAAATTCCGCAGCTATCCCCGCAAGAAATTACATGATTTTAGGTGATTACACAAAAAATAGTAGATAACTTAAAAACTAGAAAAGATAGGTATAGGGAACCTTGATACCGTTCGAAAGAGAATAAAATTGTGTATCAGAATATGCAAAAACCTACAGGGTGTTTCATTTAAAAAACCGGCTTATGAAGGTTTGAAGTTAACTAAACTCGGCATTAAATTTCTAGCACCCTGTATGCAATTAATCTACTTTGAAGGTATCGATGGGAAGCTTAGGGGTCTAGCTCCCTATAAATATTGTTGCTTTATCTTTCTTACTATAAAATACACATGGTTTGAATCTAGTCACTGTTTCTCTCCATTTTTTTTTTGAAAAAAATTAAATATCTCGAAAACGGTTAATTTTAGGAATAGGGAAACTTTATAAAAGTCCACCTAAAATAACACGTAGAATCCAAAATTGCAATAATATATAGGGTGTTCCATTTAAAATAAGCAAGTTGATGGACGCCATTATTTTAGTTGAGGACATGCCCGAAAACCCGGTATCCCAAATTTTCAAAAATTCAAATCGAAGTAGTCTCTGAAATAATTATAATGGACCGTAACCGTGAAACACCCTTTATTTATATGAAATTTTGCTTAATACCGTATTAGAAATTATAAATACAAGCGCACATTTTTTACGAAATTTTTTTCATCTTTTTTTGTCGGACTGACGATTTGCGGATATATTGTTGTCGGACATTATTTTTGCTTATAAAAAAATTTTCTATCGTGTGTTATTTTTGTCCATGTGGTAATCGATTTATCATACCCCGTGAAAATTCCGATTTCCAGCAGTCGGACTGAAAAAACGCGGCTTGAAAATTGTCGGACAAGAATACATTTTGACTGAATTAATTATTTACAATTAATTTTACGAAAAATTACCTATGTCTGTGGTAATTGATTTGCAATACCCTGTCATTTTGGCATGTTTCAGTCGGTAGACACGTCAGTGTAGCAAGAATTTCTGTCGGACAAATTTAATTCGGCAAAACGAAGCTCCTCACAAGTTATAAAGTATGTGGTAATTAGGGTTTCTGATATCTCAGCTTATTTTTTTCTCGGGACTCGAGAATTCTCGACTAGGAATATTCGGGAATTCTCGAACTTTCGAGAAATTTCTAAAACTTAAAAGTCATAATTTTGGTCTTGCAATACGAAATAAAAACTCGCTAATATACTTATCATCATCAACATTTATTATTTATTCAGTCTCTTTATTAATTACTTACAAATGTTTCTACTTCTACTAACAAAATTAAACTAAACTTTGAGTATCTCCTTGAAAACCTTTAATTTGTCTTTTTATTAAACACTTTTAATATGTTTATTTCAATATTTTTGAATCTTAGCTTCCTTCCAATATTTAATAATCAATAATCACACAGTCTTTTAATTAAACAAATAGTAGATAATGAATCTAACTGAAGAAATTTAAAAAAAAAACAAGTTTTAATTTCAAGATACAGAAGCGTTCTTCCTACTTATTATTACTACTTACAATCACAATTTACAAAACAAAAATAAAATAATTAATTAAAGGAACAGGAACTAAATATTTTCAATATTAGGTATCTGCTAATTTCTACAGTCTTTTAACTAGGTACATAAAAAAAACTGAATCATCAAAGTAGACTAGCTCATTAGCCTTAAAAACTTAAAATAAATAAATCACGAGCTAGTCGAGAAACCATTTCAACCGCTCAGTTATTTGTCGAGAGACGGACTGAACGCACGAACTAAACGAACGTGCAGCGGTGTGCGGCGCGAGAGGGGGGCATAGACAAGCACAATCAAGTCAAAAACTCAAGTCAAGAACTTAAACACGCGTGATTTTTAAATTTTTCGATTTCTCGACACTTTTTTTTCGTCTGGAGTAAGGCCAGATTTCCCGGGAATTCTCGATCAGAAACCCTAGTGGTAATCAATTTTCCAGAGGAGGCCTGTACTAATTATTTTGTCCGTTTTTCTTCAAGATCTCTTAATTTTCAACATATAAACTTGATTTTATTAATTCTATGAACAGATTTTGAAAGAGCTTTAAAAACACGTAGGTAGGTAATTTAAAAAAAAAATGATTTTTATCCTGCCCACGCAGCTGCTAATAATTTTATTTTTAACATCGTCTCTTTGTATCTAACATGTTTTTACTACAACCATTTCATGTACGCTTATGACACGCACTGACACCCCCCCGTTAGAAACTGAACCAAGGCGGGTTTCAAGTCAAACCATGCAGCTTCAGTCGTCTGGTCTTTTTGTACACTATGCGAAATGAACGGCACAATATAATTTTCATGCAGAGAATACACACACATATTTTATGATGTTAAGAAGTGGTAAAAACTATGGTCTATTTTAATCATGATTCAATTGCCTCAGGTGAGCGAGTTGAAATTGTCCCGTCTATTGGCCAGCGAGATCACATCCACCGGCGCCAGCTTGTTCGATCTACTCGGGAAAGAGGTGGATCTAAGGGTGAGTAACAACCAATAGAATTGCAGCACTCTGACTGGTACTAAACACTTCCAGACCGCTCGACAAAGAAGCGTCGCCCGTCAGTTCGAACTGTCGGACGTCGAGACCGGAATCAAGAAAGCCATGGAAGCCATATCCGAAGAGTTGACCGAGACCAAACAGTTGATAGAGAACGTGGCGGCGACCGAGGCCAGCTTGGATTCGAAGATCGAGAGGAGGAAGGTAGAGATCGACAGGTACGAGAAGCGGCTTCAGACCTTGAAGAAAGTAAGGTGAGCGCATGAAACTGATTGTGATGATAGGTTTGTGAATCTCGTTTTGCGTCTAGGCCAGCATTTTTGGAGGAGTTCACCGCATTGGAGGAAGAGCTGGAACAGCTCTTCGTCCAGTATTCAGTGAGGCTGAGGTGTTTGAATCAACTGGAGAAGCAGTTCAGCGATTCGGAAAGAAATCAGATTGAGAAACAGTTGCAGTTGACATCGCCACGTATCGAGACCATTCCTCTGGAGAAGGTGGACGAAAACGATCTATTTTTAGAGAAGGACGACGGCTTGGAGAGGAGTGGTGCTGTTAACAGGCAAGAAAGGCCAAGGGCTAGTACTGGAGGTAAGAATGAAGGAAAATTAAAAAAATAATAAAAAAATGTTTTTTTTTTGTTTATTTTGAAGTGATTTCTTCTTCTTTTAGGTCGGCACAGGCCTGAGAAAGGCGCTAAGGCCTACGGAGGCATGCAACCTCCTTTGTCTGGAAGTCAGTCGTCTTTAGATCTTAGCACAGACTCAGAATCAGATGATTTATTCATAGATAAGGATGAACCAGAATTGATGCATTCCGATGAGGAGTCTCTAGCACTGGAGCTTTCTGTGGATAGAAGAGCTCCTTCTGGACGCAAAACTAGCAGCAAAGTGCAAGAGAATAACAGTGATGATGATTTTTAAATTCTTTTTTTTTTTCAAGTTATAGGCAGTCTCAGTCCTGCTGATAAATGAAACGACAAGTGGTACGAATTTTGAATTTGTTTATTGACTATAAAAATAAATAAACGATTAAATAAAAAAAAATAAATAATATACAAAATATAAAAATATAAACATATCACCAAGTTGGCAGTTTTGGAGCCGGTATTTAGATTTTTACACTAATAACTACGTTATAAATAAATAGTGGGTAAAATATATAAAACATAGGTCTGTGTCTACGTAATAAAGTTTAGTAAGAAATATGTGTTTTGTCTTTAAGTGGATCGTTAATGTCAGTCCGCTTGTTACTTTAAGGATTAAAAATTGTCTTGGGACAGTAACCACTATAATAAACGATTGTCAGGTTCGTATTCGTCTGAAATATGGTTTTAGTCGAATATCTCACTTAACCATTTTGATATAATAAATGTCGTGTTTTGTTTTCTTTAAGTCTGGGTAGTTGTTTCAAAGCACCTCCAGATGTCAGTAACAGTCAGTTTGACAGTATTCTCAAAGTCGTCTAAAAAGTCATATTATAAGTCAGTTTTACAGTATGTTTCTGTGCAATAGTATGTCGGTATTTTAGTCATTACGTTATCAGATTCGTATTTAGTTACTCAGTTATTGTTTTTTTATGTAAGTCTATTTTCGTAAGGTTACCAATTTATTTACAGTCCACGTTTGGTAAATTTAAAGTCCTTTTTACCAATAATATCACTCTGGTAAATTGATTGTCAGTTTGTCCTTGTCGAATACTGAACAGTTTTCAGTTTGTTTTTGAAGATATCTTGAGTTTTATTTTTTATCTGTCTCAGTCTTTTTCACAAATAATATCACTATTGGTAAAATTATTATCAATTTGTTCTTGTGGAATACTGAACAGTATTCAATTGTTTCAGAATATCTTGAGTCAAATTGTATACCTTTATACGTCCTTAACAGTCCTTTTTGTAAATAATATCACTTTAGTAAAATGATTGTTATTTTGTCCTTGTCTAATACTGAATAGTCTTGAAATATTTTCGGGATGTCTTAAGTCCGTTTGTATCTGTCTATGCATCTCTAACAGTCCTTTTTTACATATTAATATCATTATTAATAAATTTATTGTCATGTTGTCATTGTTGAATACTGAACAAATTTCAGTTATTTTCAGAATAGTTCATTGTATCTGTCTACACGTCCTTAACAGTCCTTTTCACAAATAAAATCATTCTAGTAAAGTGGTTGTCATTTTGTCCTTGTCGAACAGAAAGTTTTGAATTATTTTCAGTTTATCTCCGTCTGTATCTGTTTGTGCGTCCTTGACAGTCTTTTTCACAAATTATAATCACTATTGGTAAATTTATTGTCAAATTGTCTTTGTTGAAATGTTGAATATTGAACAGATTTTAATTATTTTCAAGATATCTTGTGTTCATTTGTTGTTGTTGTTTTAACAGTCCTTTTTACATATAATATCACTATTGGTAAAATTATTGTCAATTTGTCTTGGGTTAATACTGAAAAGATTTCTATTATTTTCTAGGATAATTTACGTACATTTGTATGTCTATACAGTTTATTTTACAATAAGTCGATTTGTATCTGTCCTTTTCACAAGTCTTTTTTCACTCTCGTAAAGCGATTATCAATTTGTCCTTGTTCAAAATTGAAAAGTTGTCAGTTATTTTGAGGATATCTCGAGTTCAGTTGAATTCGCTAACACGTCTTTAACAGTCCTTTTTACAAATAATTGGTGAAATGTTTGTCAATTTGTCAATGAATATCTAACCGAGTTTTCAGTTATTTTGAGGTGTATTTGTAGTAGTAGTGTAAGTCTTCAACAGTCCTTTTCACAAAGAATATCAGTCTAATAAAATGATTGTCAAATTGTCCATCAGTTTTCAGTTATTTTAATAATTTAATGACATTTTGAGACATATTTGTACTCTGTAAGTCTTTAACAGTCCTTTTCACTAATAATATTACTCAAATTGTCAGTTTGTCCTTGTCGAATATTGAACAAAGTTTTCAGTTATTTTGCGGTCTATTTATACTCTGTCTATTTAAACAGTCCTTTTTAAAAATAATGTCACTGGGAAATAATTATCAATTTGTTCTTGCGAGTAGTGGATAGTTATTAATTGTTTTCAGGACATGTTGAGGTCTATTTTTGTCTGTCTATAAATCTTTACAGTCCTTTTGGCAAATAATATCATGGTAAAATTATTATCAATTTGTCCTTAACAGTTTTTAGTGGTTGTGAGGATATCTTGAGGTTTATCTGTACAGTGTCCGTACGTCTTTAACAGTCCTTTTTATAAACATGGTAAAATTATTGTAAATTTGGGGAATGTTTGTATAAGTCTTTTTCTCGTCAATTTTTAGATGTCTCTGTTATTTTAAAGCAGGAAACAGTTATGTTTGCGTTTTGTAGATCCTAGTTTTTGAAGTCATTCAATTTATATTCTATAAATCGTATCTGTCTGTAAAATTACGCCAGTATTTGCATATTGTTGTTTTTTTAATATGTATAGTCATAGTCACTCAGGTAAAGCTTAGAGAGTTCGGCTGTCTTTGATGTTCAGTTTTTGGGAAGCCTTAGGTCTCTTCATAGGCCTTGGTAACTCACTGGAGCAGGAAATATTTTTGTTAATGTCAGGTACCAGTAGCATGGGCATTATCTCATCCGTGGCGTTGTAAACCAACCACTGATCATCCCTACAAACAAAAGAATGTCACACTTAAAATTTCAAACTGAACAGCTTACTCTATCTCACTAGGAGCAACGGCGATGTCTACGACTTTGATTTTGTCTTCCTTTCCTCCCAGTTCTTTCAGGTCCATCTCTCCATCTCTTTCCTGAAGGGTGTAGGATTCTAAGTCTTTGTCGGTCAGCGTCATTCCTGCTTTTACGGAAGAAATCTTAATAAAGCGCCTGTCGTCGTATTCATCGTAACCTTTAGGTTTTGTTACAAGTCTGGTCTTGAAGTCGAGTTTGTCGTCGATTTGGTCGTTGTCTAGTTTGTGTATGTGAGCTATAGAGTATATCTTGGTGGGTTTATTTACCCTGTCAGGGAATCTGGTCGAGTCAGTGAAGTCGCTTTGTCCAAAAGTCGGTTTCTTGGGCACGTCTCCGATCCTGTCGTGTTCGTTGAATACTTGTTCGTACACGTCGTTTATAGGGTCAAATTTATCATAGCTACTAGGTCTTTTATTGTAGTCATATATTTCGCTGTTGTATCCGTTTTGTTGGGGTTTGTCATAGTTACTAGGTCTTTTATTGAAGTAGTATATTTCGTCATCGTGTCCGTTTTGTTGAGGTTTATCATAGTTATTAGGTCTTTTAATGTTGTCGTAAATTTCATCGTTATATCCGTTTTGTTGAGGTCTGAAACTGGGTCTTCTAGTCGGGTAAGTGTCGTAATAATACGGTCTTTGGGAAGTCGAAAAGGGTAGGTCTTCGTAAACAGTTTGGTCGTACGAGTTTTGGTAGGAAGTCTGTGGTCTGGCACTGTAAGGCTTTTTCGTCGTCGGTTCATTGTATGTGTAGATTCCAGGTCTGTTGCTAGGTCTATAGTTATCGTAGTTGTCTTCGACGATAGTTGGTTTGTCGTAGACGTGAATAGGTCTTTTAGTGTCTGTAAAAGTGTAGCCAGGTTTGTTGTCGATGTTTATAGGTCTAGGTACATTAGTAGGTTTCTCGAAAAGGTCGTTAGGTCTTACGGCAAAATCATTGTACCCTTGCACAATGCTGGGATAACTGATTTGTGGGTTCTTGTTCGGAGGTCTTTGAGTTATAACTACTGTCTGTGAGTAAGTAGGCTTTCTAGTCGGGTTCTTCTTCTTTTTTCTAGTGGGTCTAGTCGTGGTAGTTGTCTGCGTCGTTGGTAAGTAGTATTGGATTTTGATGTTAACCTCTAGAGGTGGTTTTTGGGGAGTCTTGGTAGGAACAACTCCAGTCAGGTAAGTCACTTCTGTATTGTCTTTGTCCGATTGGTAACTCTGTGGTCTATAAACTGGTCTAGGTGGTACTGTATTGGCTGTAACACCACTACCTCCTCCGTAATTGTCTCCTAGTTTAACCGAACTGGTTGTTACATTTGTAATTCTCACTCTAAAGCCAGAGTTAGCAGTTTTTCTCTTTGTACTAGTCTTTGTTCTATTCTTGGTTTTGGGTCGTTTGGTAGTCGTTTTTGTCTTAGATCGTTTCGTACGTCGCAACGGGAATTTAAGTTCTCTTTTAAAGTCAATGTTGTTGTTGATGCCGTCAAATTCGTTAAACTCTCGTTCCTCCCAAGCAGAGAGGTCAAAATTGTCAATCAGCGGGCTGCTGCAAGATAATCTAACATTCCTAAACGTGTCGGGTGATAGGAAAACAAATGGTTGAATGGTTTCTATTTCATCCGTGGTGTAGCATAGGATTTGAGCTAGAGTCACGTGTCTGATCTGTTGAAGCTGTGCAGGGGTGAAGGAGGAATCAAATCCTCCATTTTCGTACCAGAACCTACAAAGGTACCACTAGTATCCAGGTCAAGGTTTGGTTGTGGACTCACCTGTCGCCTTTTCTTAAATTTAGAAACTGTTGAGCTATTATGCAAGCAAATGTAGGTCCTACCACTCCTCCTCTTACAGGTTTCTCTGCCAAACCACCGCTGAATAGATCTATGTCGTCCACGTGGTGGTATACCGATCTGAATCTATCGATACTGTTAGGGTTGAATATTCCCTTCAGGTCCTGCCAAGTTTTAATAGGAGACAAGCCGCAGGGTTCTCTCCAAGAGGTATAGGATGGGATGCCGTGGTCTCTTCCTCTTTGTATGTTGATCGCAGCCAGATCCAAACCAAAAGGTGAATTGGGAGACTGGAAGAGATGGTTTGAAAGTTCGTCGCAAATGAATTCGTCCCGTCTTTGGGCGGGTTGGTTGGCAAAGCCCAGCAGAAGTCTGTCAACAGAGCCGAAGCTCCAAATGTTCTCAAAGTTGTTGAGTTCTTCATGAAGCGAAACGTCTGAAAGATTTTTTTTGTATTTACAAACACAAACTAATGGTGAATCTTACTGTTAAAAAGAGGCCTGTGCTTGTGGTCTGTCCTAACGAATGAGTTCTGCACCATACTGTGGCCGAATCTGTAAGCGGCAGTACTGAAGGAGTTAGCAATCGTTGGATTGACTTTGCTGTCGTACTGGGTATAATACCCCTTCCGTACCAACCGCAGTTCGAACAGATCCATCACTTCCGGACCCAGTACTATGGGCAGGAACTCCCTGTAAGTGATGTGCTGCACGAGGGCGTAAACGATCTTCCTGGTTTCTTGGTAGAGCTTCTCGTCGCTCCAGTGGGGATTGAATTTGGACAGTACGGTGGTCACTTTGTTGTGGAACCGGACCCAGATGGTATGCATGGCGGTTAGGCCTGGTTGTTCCGATACACGGCCGTCTCCCGAGTGGAAGCAATCGGTTGTGAGGGCGCCCGATCTGCAGAGCTCGCCCCCTGGAGGATCCGGGGGCTGAAGGGGTCCCTGACGACGCGATCTGCCGTAGATTATTCTACCTGAAATTAAATTAGGTTTTATTCAAGTTAAGCAATAATATATCTCTTATTTTAACTATAAATTATATTTGTGTGAGGGAGGGGGCGGCGTATTATTATCCTACGCCCCGTAAATAAAACGCACCGCATTTACTTTTCAATTCGAACCTCGTTATTTAAAAACAGATTTCCATCAAATAACCACTTACCATTCCTGAAGGTTCTCATGGAGTCCGACGTTTCAATATCGCTGCCATAAATCGTGGAGGCGTCTATAAAGGCAGTTACTTGATTTATCTGTTCGCGCCACCCCAAATCGCAGTTCACCCTTGTCGAGGGAGCACTTCGAATGAATTCCATGCATCTCACCCCGAAAGTCCCTAGAAACCAGTCGTCGATCGGCACTTCTATAGGCAGGCAGGCCGGATGCTGGAAAAAATTGAAAGGTTTTTTATTTCGTAATACTTTTACTTTCAAATAAGGGTTCTAAAGGTCCGTGCACACTTTATCGGCGTTGTAAAGATGTTTACGCACTTTTTCGAACAATCCTTAAATATGCCCTGCTCGTCTTTATAGCAGAGTTGTAGAGAATTTAATTCTGCATTCCATGGTATAAAAATATACAGGGTGCTGCATTTGAATTTTACGCGATTTGTCAATTTTCTTGTTGGTCTTCATCACTAATTGTTCAACATTTGTCCAAAAAGAGATTCCAGTAGCTAGTATAGAGAATTTCGGTCAGCACAAGCGTTAACTTTGGCGAAAAAAAATTTGAAAGCTAAATATCTCTACTACTTTTTATTTTTCTTGTACAATGTATAATGAATATAAAGAATATACAGTGTCTCACTGTGACGGCCCATTAGAATTATTTCAGAGACTACTTCGATTTGAATTTTGAAAATTTGGAATACCAGGTTTTCGGGCATGCCCTTCTCAAATAAAGTAATGGCGTCCACTTCCGGTTATACCGGAAGTCGTCATCAACTTGCTCAGATAGAAATATGGCAACATCGAAATAAGTTTTCGTCTATCCCACTTTTTCACCTGGATATTGGACCTTCGCGTACTAGTGGGACAGGCCGTATATTTGGATAATTTGTAACATTTTTTTACACTCACCATGAACTCTTGGGGTAGTACCGCTCTACCCCCACGGTCGCAACACCGTGGTATGGACCCGTTGAAACTCCTGGACTTCACCACCGACGTCACGTCGTGGTCTATGAACTGCCCCCATTGCATCAGCATCAAGGTCACAGTGGGAAGTTCCTTGTCTCTATCTCCATGGATTTGGACGCTGACTTCCCGAGCGGAGGGTAGGCGAGGGCCTAGGATGGAGCGTCTTATGCTTTGAATACCTACAAGAAAAAAAAAGTCAAACAATTCCACTTTTAAATGTAAACAGAATTCGTACCATCTTCGTAAGCCGGTGGAAGGAATCTCTGCATGGGGAGCATGGCAGATCCCTTCCAAGGGTTGTCTAGGTTGTTGCAAGTACCGTCTGCTGTCCTGTACCTCCTGGAAGCTGGAGGACATCTGGGGGTGCCCTTGAGGGGGCAACCGTCCCGCAGCTGCCTGGGATGGAACGAGCCTGGAAATCCTGCCGCTTGTCGACTGACATTTTCGGGAAATCTGGAAATAGAAGTTGGTGGAATTTAATAGGGTGATAAATTTTTTAGTCATTTGGATATATACCTCAAGAGAGCTACTTGGAAAATGTCCCAATTAAAAAAAAATTGTTCCGGAAACTGATGGCAGCGACAAGAACTGTTTATATAATTGCAAGTGGTCAACAAATGAAAGAAGAGAAATCTAGATTCTTACTGAAGTAAACGAATTGTTTCCAATTTGCATAATCAATAAACAAATTATGCGGGAAAACAAAAACCCTAGAAAATTTAATTATTGATATTAATCAGAAAGGTGTTCAAGTAATTCGTAAAATTAGAAACACATAAAAAGCAAATTATCCGTGAAAATAGTACGGATTTTGATAAAAATGCACAATTTATCACATGTTGTCTGTCATATCTTCTTACTTGAATTCAGTAGTCTTTTCGCTTACAGCCAAATATATAGGGTGTCCCAGAATAAGTGGGCAATCTCTCGGATTTATACAGGAGATGTTAAATTAACATGAGAAGTTCTTATAAAAATTTTCACTTGTAATCTTCGTAGTGCTTGAATTATTTCCGGAAACTTTACCGAAGGAACGCATTTTCTAGAAAAATGCGTGATTGAGGAACAATTTCCGGACATTAATTCAAGGACGTGGGGGATTCGGTAAGAAAATTTTACAAGCAAAATTTATTTTAGAAATTTGACATGTTTCATTTTGAAACTTATTTCGCCAAAATAAAGTTGGCTTGACAGGTAGACATTGTTTTGTGGTGCATGACATTTTTGTTCTTCTTAAACGTCACATAATTTAATCGCATTTCACGCGTTTTTTTAAATTAAAAAATGGTTCGTTTTGGAAATGAAAATTCCGAAAACATAAAAGCAGAAGTGGCAAATTTAACTCCCCAAAACACGAAGAAGTCGAAATTAAGCGTATGGAGACAGTTTCTAGTTTTTTGTGCGGAAAGATCCTACAATGTTGAAGATCCAACAATATCGATGACTGCGTTGGCATCAATTTTTGAAGATTATGCGTTTAACATGTCGTTTAATTTTGTTAATATTTTTTACGAGTAAAACTAATACATTAATTAATTATCATGCCCTAAGACTTTCATTTTCATAAATACGGGGATACCTAAACTTTGAAAAAAAAATGTTTCAATCTTTAGTAAAACAAAATGGTTCTTAATAAAACCTAAAAAACAACACGTTCCTTTCACTTTAGTAATAAATGAGACATTTAATTTTTGAATTCAAATATTTATCTTTGCAATATAAATCACTTAAGTATTACTAAAATAGAAGGAAAGTAAGTTTTTGTAGAAAAGCGATGTCTATGGCAGTTTATCACAGATTCTTATTAAAACATAAAAAAACACATTCCTTTCACTTTAGTAATAAAAAAGGCATTTAATTTTTGAATTTAAATATTTATCTTTGCAACACAATTCACTTGGTATTACTAAAATAGAAGGAAAGTAAGTTTTTGTAGAAAAGTGATGTCTGAGGCAGTTTATCAATGATTCTTATTAAAACATAAAAACACATTCCTTGCACTTTAGTAATAAAAAAGACATTTAACTTTTAAATTCAAATATTTATCTTTGCAGTACAATTCACTTAGTATTACTAAAATAGAAGGAAAGTAAGTTTTTGTAGAAATGCGATGTCTATGACAGTTTATTAATGATCCTTATTAAACATAAAAAACAATACATTACATTCACTTTAGTAATAAAAAAGGCATTTAATTTTTGAACTCAGATATTTATGTTTGCAGTATAATTCATTTAGTATTACTAAAATAGAACGAAAGTAAGTTTTTGTGGAAAACCGATGTCTATGGCAATATATCAATGATTCTTAAAAAATCATAACTGCAATCAATTAGGCTTAGGCTTGTGATGTCAAAATCGTCTTCGCTATACGTCACGTTGACAGTCATTTTCTCTAGCGTCTAACTGTTTACAATTAAATCATGGCAGTGAACAACCAAAAAACTAATTTAAAACCTTATAGTATATGTAATTCTTGCAAAAAACTGGAATCAGTCCGCATCTAGAAAACCTTTTCGCAGCTATTCAAAAGATTTTGGAGGAAGATATCCCATCTTTTTTACGTAAAACCAGGGCTCAGCAGAACAAAATTTCATCAAATTATTACATATATTTTATGAAACACAGACATCTGATGGAAATGAAAAATAAAGGTAATAATTATGCTCCTCGTTACTCTCCGTTGCGAAGAGAAGAGTTCCAGCCAGAATTTCAAAAACATTTAGCGTTAATAGAAGAAATCTCGGAACAAATATTTGGTAAATCATTATTTGTATCTATTTATTATTTTAAAATAAATAAAAACATTACAAAGCAAAATTCTGGATAGGTACTGATTTTTTAACCATATGATAGCTGTCAAAAAAAAATTCCACTTATTAATTTTGTTTGCCTAGGAGGAAAAAAATTTCTGAAAAATTTGAATGTTGCCATGGGCAACTGTCGAAATTACAGTATGTAATTGGCTTAAAATGACGTGTAAAATTTTCCTTAGAGAACCCTTCTATGGAAATACAGGCCCCTAAAGAACGCCTCTGAAAATCGATTTTTTTTAATACCTTTTAAAATACTTTGTGTAATTTAATTATTTTTTAACATTGCGGACAACAGATAAGACTCCTTAAAAATTGACCTATGAAAACAATTTGGATTATTTGGTTTGCCAGTGACGGACTAGCTGTAGAAAAATAATGTCAATTTTTTTTTCACCGTTTACGATAAAGGCACAAACATATATTTTTAGATAACTTGAACCTGAAATTAAAAAAAGGCACCCTTGGTTAATGTCGATAAAATGAACTGATTTCGAGAAAAAAACTATTTTTGTGATATGATTTTTATTACATCCGTAAAAACAAATAAACCGATGAAATGTGCATTATTTGCCTATTTAAAAAAAATGCAACTTTTATTTACATTTGCGTTTTCCTAAAAATAATTAAATTCCACAAACTATTTTAAAAGTTAAAACAATCAATTTTCAGGGACGTCCGTCAATCAGGGGCTTGTATCTCCGAAGGAGAGCCCTCTAGGGAAAATTTTTATAGAAACTTATTATTAATAACTTACTTAACTTATTTTATTATTACTTATTATTTATTAAACTTATTATTAACTTATTATTTTAACGTCCCCTGTATAAATCAGAGAGATTGCCCACATATTCTGGGACACACTGTACACTAAAAAATTTTTTAGTGATACGTTTTAATGAGTTTCTTGTAATTTTATTTTGCCTTAAATGTATGGGTCAAGAGAATTCAGGTAGCAATATCGTGGAGGAGGTCAACACAGATCACTTTCTAAACGATCCAATGATTTGCCAAAACTGTTTTTTATGTAGTTACGTACATTTGGCAGTAGAAAAAATGTCAATATAAAATTAATAGTAAAACTGCAATAATTTGACACGAATCAACAGATTTTATTTCATCAAATCTATTTTAATCTTTAACCTACTTATCCGAGTTAGATTAACTCGTATTTACTTCGTCCTTGTCACAGCTTGATTGATACAAATCTATGAAAGTAAGATAAAAAGTAATTCGTGGAATTCGTGAAATTTTTAGACGGAAATGTTTCGAAAACGGTTAAACATGTGCGTTTTCACAAGATATGATAATGTTCAGTGAATAAGTTTAAATCATTACGTTTTTAAAGAATTTTTGTTCTAGTGTAAAAAAAAAACATTTTTGTACAGAAAGTGACGCTTCCTACAATATAACTCAAAAATGATACGATATTTACATTTGCCACCGCCAAAGACTTTTTGACACCAAATTTAAAATAAATATCTTAACTGTAAAAAATATTTTGATTCCAGTAAAAGTACTGTTCTTTTTTCTGCTATAGCAAGACATGGAATAAATTATATAAATACTAGTTATTTAAGTTGTCAATGATATCTTTAACATCATCTATCTAGAAACCAGAATAACGTTTAAAACAAATATAGAAAAAGGAATTCTTTTTCCTTTTTATGCAGTTGCATAAAAATACAATGGAATGCAAATTTATACATAGGTACATAATTGCTTGTAATTAGACACGACTACACAATAATCATTGCAACACGATTAACGTTTCGAAAGCTTCTGTTTCCGTTCTCGAAACTAAAACTGACTTAAAATTAAACGTGATAGCTCTTTTGTTTTGTTTATTTACCTTTCATAGAGATATAAGATATCGCATAATATTTATACCGTTGTTACTGACCTCGTCGTTTGTTTTCCAAATTTCTGTTATTCCGCTGAATAACATAACCATTACTGGTTATCATTTGCCCAGAAATTTTCGATTTTTCAAATTTTGCATTTCTAATGTAGCTATGAGGTCATCGCTATCTCCATTATCAAGTAACTTGTTCGCAGAATATTTGGAAAACAACTGTATTAAAAATGTAAACCAAAAAACCTTTGGTATCTCCATCAAACTAACTATACTTTTACGGTAGTTCATTTTGGCTTTATAATTTTGATGATTTAATCAGTTTTTTTTTATTATACAGGGTGATTTACAAATGGTGACCAAAAATGAAACCTCGTATTCTTCGGTGAATTTTAAGGGGAGTCTTTCCTATAAAGTTTTTATCTAGGATGTTTCGTTAAAAAGATACAGAGTGTTAAACTTCAAAAAATATTTTTAATTTTTTTAAATAATTTAAAAACTAGTAAGTGGAATAATTTCAAATTGAGCACATGTATTTATGTAAACATTGTCCAAATTCTGACGGCTTTTCGTAAAATTTACTTGCTCCAGTAGCGGAGATATAGGATGGCATATTTTGCTAAATAAAATAGTACGCCACTGTTTTATGGTAATAACCATGATATTTTCGGATTCGTCTTTCAATTTTCTACAAATTACTACCCTCTTATATTTTCCGAACAAATTTTCGAGTTGCTAACTACTGACTTTCTGATTATTTTCTAATAAACACTGTTAAAATCTTGT